CAGATTTTGTACACCTGGGTGTAATTTTAGTTAATTCACACAAGAGACAGGATGAAAGTTTATTGTTTGGAAGGGAGAAAAATGGCTTAAATCTCGTATTTGGAAAAAATGATTATATTAGCTTAAATGAAAATGCTACTCTATTAACAGCTTCAAGAAGCATTACATTTGGAGAAGTATTTTAATAAAAAAGTTACCTGAAGTTTACTGCAACTTAAAATATGTAAGTGAAGGAAAAGTACTTACTTTGATTTATGTGTCTTTTGGAGGTGTAATTATTGGCTTTTTACTCACCTATGTAAAACAATGTACTTTTGTAAATGGATTTCTGGCCACTTTACTCCACTTTTTTTTTCTTTCTTTTTTATTTTATTTTTTTACATAAAAAGTAAGCACTGTCAATCAAAGAATTTTAAGGTTTATTTCCTCTTTAGAAATGATTGATAGCCTTTTAGATTTACAAGTTGACAAGTTAAAGGGTTCTATTGGTATAATTATGTACTAAATTCACAGTCTTTCAATTTAAATGTCCTTTTAAAACCACAAGATTATCATACCTGTATTTTGAAAAGTAGGCCAGTCAGTTTGGGTTGGTATACAAATTGCTTCCATTAGCCTTGGGACCTATTTGAATTTAATACAGTTTTTTAAAGTTGGTAGTACTTCCAATAGTACTTTTAAAATTTAGGGTAGTGGCAATGCATTTTAAATACAATACATGTTAACTTGTTTTTAATGGATGGATGGGTGTCAAGAACCCGAATGCTGGCTCTGTTGTGCAGTCTGAAAACAGTTGTTGTTATGGGGGGGGGGAAAACGCTTTGCATTAGGGCTTGGCAAGTGGGGGACTTAGGATGCTCCCCTTAAAGACAGAGGCAAGACTTCCTTTAGGCCAGGATCTGATTTCCTACATTCACCGCTGGACGGGATGTCATTCCTCTGGGTTTTTTGCTGCTGTAAATGAGATTGTAGGATCATCAGAAAGTCGGGCTGGAAGCGGCCTCATGAGGGCATCTACTCCATCCCCCTGCACCCTCGTCCCAGCCGAGTATCTGCCCAACCTGCCCATGAGAAATTGCAGAGACGGGGAGTCCACAGCTTCTCTGAGACTTTTCAGTGGGAGCAGGTTTGGTCCTTACATCTGTGCTTGAGGACAAGCGTCTCAGCTGAACTCTGGTTTCCAGAGACAAAAGTTTAAATGTTGGCCCCAAAAGTAAGTGAAATGAGTTCACTGGCCTAAATCTGCAGAACAGCATGGGAGTGCTGTAGCCAAATCGATGGATAGATAAGGCAGTTTCAGGTCGTTTTCAATTGGGTCGGAGATAACGAGATTCAAATTGTTATAGACTGAAACAGGGGGGCAGTCGGGTCGGTACCTGCTGCTAAGGCCCCCATCCTAAGACGTGCTTGAACACCCTCTCTCATCGCTGAAATCCGTGGGAGTGGAGAGGGCACGGGACCTCCTAGAAGATGCTCAGCTCCTCGTAGGGGTAGATCAAAGAGTTGCAATTCTTTTGTATGGGTCATCTGAAAAAAATAAACTTTACAGGCAATAGTCTGTGGTTTTCAAATGTGTTTAAACGTGTGGGAAGATGCAAGCAAATGACTGCTGCATCTCAAGGAGATGTCAAAACTGGTCTCCATTTATGATATCCCAGTATCCCATGATTACTTTCCCAAAGGATGCAAAGGGAAAAGGAGCAAAACCAAGAGTAAATTACAGAGGGAAAGTGTTTGATGGAAAAGCTTAAGCTAAAATCTTTAACACAATTACAAAATAACGCTGAATTAGAATTGTAGGACATCTGATTGCCTCAACACCCAGATATTCATTTTTAATAAAGGCAAACAATAAGTTGTCAGAAGATTGAAAGTTTTTAACAGCGATGTATTGTATACTCCATAAAGGGCATTATAAGGAAATTGCAAGATAATGGTATTAGTGGTTTAAAAATAGGTTCATTGTGCCTGCATTTTTTTGCAAACTTATGGGCATGTGTGGACAACGTGAGGCTACAATGGAAAAAGAAAACAAGCAAATAATGTAACCAGAGGGCCAGAAGTGTCTTGACCCATTCCTCATTATGAGATTACAAGTAAAACAATATGGGGTTGGGCTGGTCTCAGTGGGGGGCAGATGGCAGGACAAGGAGCAATGGGCTCCAGCTGCAGCAAGGAAAGTTGAGGTTGGATATTAGGAAAAACTTTCTCACTAGGAGGGTGGTGAAGCATTGGAAGGGGGTTATCTAGAGAGGTGGTGGCATCTCCATCCTTGGAGGTTTTTAAGGCCCAGGTAGACAAAGCCTTGGCTGGGATGATGTAGTTGGGGCTGGTCCTGCTTGGAGCAGGGGGTTGGACTAGGTGCGACTCCTGAGCTCCCTTCCAGCCCTCATTTTCTGTTATTCTAATATACTTAGATATTCCTGCGTATCAGTCCAGCAACACCAAGTGGATGCTATGCCTGTACCCGAATATGTTGGGGGCTGCTCTGGTATTTTAGATCCCATCTTCTGAGAATATCTTCCATGAAAAGACCTCTGGTCTGATATTTGAACATTGATGCAAGAGTTATTTCAGGGATAGACTCAGTGGATTCCTATTACAACAAGGAAAAAACAAATCCTGATTCTGCTTGTAGTCTGTCCAACTGTAGCTAATGCATGTGTTTCATCACTGACAGTCAGCATTTGTCCCGTCACCTTGCTCTGACTAGTTGCATTGACATCAATGGGAGACTCATGGAGACAGGAGCTATTCAAGGCGATGGTGCCCGAAAATGGCCTCTGGGTTGCATAAACAAGCACCCGCTGTAGAGATGCAGGTGCCAAAAATATAATGAATGAAGAGCAATCGAACACTTTACTTCCTAGATTAGCTTAATGACTGGGTTGAGCTGGGAAAGAGTGAAAAAAATGTGGTTTGGCTAAAATTGGATCGGTGGTACTGCTTTGTGGTGTGTAGGTGTGGGTTTAGTGCGATCCATAACCTACCGCGTAAAAGGAAAGACTGGCAGAACGTGGCCAGATTTACCGGTTTTAAGGAGAGATCCTATTTTTAACAGTCTCACCTAGTTTGAATATTTCTCTACTCGACAATATTTCTGCCACAAGAGTGAGCCGATAGGTCGCTGCATGATGTGCACGGTACTTCTCGATGTAAGAGCCCTGGTAGAATTTGACCCTCCTCAAATGAATTAGATGGCAATCTAGTCCAAAGTACATCATTGTAGTGAAAGGATCCTGCAAGCTACATTCACAATTTGGTGGTAAACAGAGCGATGGAAAGTAGTGATTTTTGCATTTCATTAGCTGAACTGAAATATCTAAGTGAAACATATACATAAAAAAAAGAAAAGAAAAAAGTTTTGGGCCTCCCTGAAAATGAAAACTTTCAGATTTTCCCATCCAAATGAAAAGGGGAAAAAAATCCCATATAGTTAAACATTTTGTTTTGCGTTGGAGTTTTTAAAAAAAAATCAAATTAAAGTAAACCAGAGAATATTGATTCAAACAAAAATGAATAAGTAAGAAGACCACCCCGCCCCCCGCAACAAACCCCCAAAACATTTTGGTTGAAAATGTCAGCTAAATATTTGGGAAGATTTTCCCATTTTTTATCAGATGAACGAGTTGGACAGAGTTGATTCAAATTCATGAAATGTTTGACCTGAACACACATCTTTTTAGGGGAAAAAAAGAGCATATAAACATTTTTATGCACATTTTGGCAGGAAAACATCAAGAAGCATTGCTGCAGCTGTTTAGCGAGGCCTGAGAACGTCTGCCTCTGGCTCCGGTTCAGCACAGTGCTGAAACCGGTGACTCTCGGCCCAGCGTCAAAGCACCCCGGGATGCCTCGGGATCCGTTCAAGGGTGCTGCGGGACAGCGTTTGCACTGTGAGGTGTGCAAACATGATTTGCAAGATAAAACCAGAGATTTCAAATAGAAATCCAGTGTTAAAACCATTCTGACCTGTTGTGGTCTTTCTGAATCCTTTGCAGCAGAAGGATACTTCTACTGTCTCTCTGTAGTAAAAAGTGAAGAGTTGGCTTTTTCCTGGGGGTGCCTTGAGTCTAACAAGGGGTCCCTTATGTCCTAAAAAGTTGAGAACCAGTAGTTTAAACACATGTGCAGCGTTAAGCGTGAATTTAGGTCTCTCTGTCATCCTCATTAGGCAGCAGCATAAGTGTTTGCTAAGAGAGATGGACTTAAGAAAATGCTTAGTTGTGCAGAATCTGGGCCTTTCCCCCTGTTATGAACTCTACATTGCCCCAACAATTAAAATCTCTCCTTTCCACCCTTTCTCCACTTCCCTTTCCTTTTATCTTGAAAATAACTGGGATAAAAAAAGAAAAAAAAAAAAAAGACAACATGTAAAAAAACTTTAAAAAACCCTTGTAGTTATTTTTTCCATTATTGGTGATATGGTTTTTGAAGTCCGTGGGGATTTTACAAGAGACTTCATTGTAGCGCATAGAGAACTGAGCCCTGGCCATTGACAAAAAGTACATCGCTTTATCTCTAGTTCGCCACAAAAACATACGTGATCGCTGCATGCCAGTGGCATCAAATACATAGTCTGGCAATGAGTGCCTTGCTTCTGCTTTGTCCTCTTGTCTCCAGTCTAAAATGACTTTTCTTATAACATGAAGACAGAAAAACATGAAACGCGGGGTGCAAAGCATTTATCAAGTGGATTTCATTCAGACACAGTAATTGCCTCTTGTTTGGGAGCTGGTTACAATGCTCCAAAAGTTTGCCCCCTTGTCACACGGACTTGAGCTGGAAGGTTTTACTTCCATTTTAAACCAAAGTCTCACATCTACCGTCAGACAGTGTTTGAACCCAGATTTCAAAGTTACGGCTGATCTCAAGTTGAAAAGGAGCGATGCGTGATCACGTCCTGGCCGTGCAGTGCGTTGACGGTTGTCGCGCGGCACAGCTGCGCCCCACCTTGCTTTGCCTTTCCCGTCTCCTGACGTTGTCTGTTGTTGTTTCAGCTCTGAACGAACCCACCATTGACTACGGCTTCCAGAGGTTACAGAAGGTTATTCCACGACACCCCGGTGATCCCGAGCGCTTGCCAAAGGTCAGCACAACATTTCCTATTTATTTATTTCTTCATTAAAGTGTAACAAAGCTGGCCACTTTGATGGGTTTTGTTTGAAAAGAAGCACTTTTGCTTTGTACCAAAAGCCGCAAAGTCAAGTTCATTAATGTGATGTCCTGGTCGAATACCTGACATGGATGGAGCTGACCTAGCGCCTGTCTACACGTGCATTTATGCCAGCTTAAATTTTCTGCACAGTAAGTTACTACACACTAAGGGGGAATAGGATGGCATCTACATGTGCAGGCATTAAAGCGCATTAATGCTATGTTTGGACTGACTTGGGACTTAAGTCAGTCCCAAGTCAATCCACACACAGTGTTACTCCACAGTAGTGCATCTACACGTGCGTTACTGCACAGTAACTAATTGGGCATAAATTTGATACCTGTATGATGCAGGTATCAAATTTATGCTCATGTCGGCATAAGTCACCATATTTGCTGCACAGTGTGGGTGTGCATGTGTAGACGCGTGCCTGTACTGTGCAGTAATTTCGGTTACTGCGCAGTAAATGTGCACCTGTAGAGATGCAACAAACCCGCCTTCTCTGGAGCTCCGATCCCACACGGCCTGCACCGTGCCCGTGCCCACATGGCACGTGCTGTTTGCGGGTTGCTGCAGAAGAGCTTTACCCCAGCAAGGCGACTTTTCCTTGGCGACTCCAGAAGGCAGATGGTTTGCAGATGCTTCCATAGGCAGACATGGCCTTTCTTTTCTGGTTTCACGGTAAGGTTTTGCAAAGTTTAATTCTGAGAGCTCTGCCCTGGATGAAATCTGGGGAGCCTCAGACACTGCGGGCATGTGCCGACTGCTGTTTAGCCACAGCATTTAAACGGGTACTACGGACTGTAACCGGAGGGTTGATGAATGAATGGCTCGTTCTCAACCCAGCCTCCATCTAAGTCACTGGGAGGACTCCAGTCCTGAAGGAGAAAGCCAGAGGAGTGGGGCCCCCCCGGCCCACCTTGCACTCCAGCACCCTGGGTAGATAACCTGACCTTTCTTCCTCAGTTTCCTGAGCAATGAAGAGAGGACACTCGGGGTCTGCTGTGAACATTGATTAGATAGTGCCTATGAAATGCTTTGAAGCTGAAAAGAGTTAATAAGCCTCATCATTTCATTATGTTCTGTTTATTGACACGGAAATGAGATTAGATCGGTGATTTTAAAGGCCTTGTTAGTGCTCTGTTGTCTTTGACTGGGGAGGCTGCAGGTGCTGGTGCTGGTGCTGAGATTGGCATGCTGCCCTTCCTTCCTTCCTGCCACCAGAGAAATTAGAAGAAAAGGCGCTGTCTAGGCTTCGGTTTCTCCCTGGCTCTGCTTCCTCTGCAGAAACTCTTGGTCCCTTCCGTGCTTGTGAGACAGGCCCGCGGCATGCTGTTGTAGCAAAGGTTGTAGTTCTTCCCCGAGACCAGCAGCATCCTTCTTTCTGCACAAATCTCCCGTGTCTGCAGCCAAGGATGTGCCCGCTGAGAGAAGCGGAAAACAATAGCGCAGTGCCTAAGAGGCTCTCGGGATTTGCGAGGCTCAAGGAAGCAGGAACCACAAGGTTTGCTTGCACCCAAATAGCAGAGCACCTCGCTTCCTATTTTCCAGTATGAGAGAGGATGTAAAATGGGGCTGCGTTTTTTTATCACGGGTTAGTCAATTTGATGTTGCAATGGATCGTCCTTTTCTGCGGGAAGTGGGGGCTCTCCTGCTGCTCACGCTCATGGCGAGGCTATCCCAGGGGTCCAGCCTGGTGGTGTGAGGTGGCCGTGCCGTTTTGAGATCAGGTGCGGGTTCCTCTAGCAGTGTAGCATCCGCTACCAGAGCTGGAGCCCAAACATTTTGGGGACGTTGCAGTGTTTTAATTTCAAATGTTGGATTCCCCTGGGGAAGAAGAACCCAACCGACTTGTCAAGAGGTTCATAGATTCATACGAATCCATGAATCTATGAACCTCTTGACAAGTCGGTCTTCTCTTGCAGCTCTGCATCTACCTCCTTGGACTCTCCTCTCTTTTTATTATGGTCTTTCTCTGCATGACCTCAAGGGATCAAACTATGATACCTAGCAGCAGAGCCTTTGCAAGGCTCAATCATGAGGAATACTGCAGAGGATATTTTAATTTCTGGCTTGTGAAAAGCAATCAAACGTGGAGCAAAGTCCACTCACTGAAAAGTAGCTTGAATCGGGGCTTCTCCATCAGACACTCGCCCAAGAGACCAGAGGTCTGCTTGAAGGGGATGAACGTGTCTTGACTGACAGACTCAGTCCTCGCCGTGCTGCGTAGGTATCTGGTAGCCGTGGTGCTGCTTTGCACGGGATCCGAACGAAATCTGCAGCCGTCAGGTGTGTTTCACTTCATTGGAGCTGCAAACGATTCCCCTGGATTCGGGTTTAAGTAATCCCAGGTGTAAATTCATCGGTTATGCCATGTGCAGTATTTCTTAACACTCCTTCCCTTTCATCCGTCGCCTTCCAAGGTGTTAAAGGAGTTGGCATTTCTTCCTCTGTGTAATGAGAGAACGCCGTGTTTAGCAGGTAACCCGTGGGGCTGAGAGTCAGGATTCCTGGGTTCGGTCCTCGGCTTTGCCACGTTCACGCTGAGCAAGCCACTGAACGGCACGGCGTCTCTGGGTCGCTAGCTTTTTGGCCTGAAGAACAAGCATGACAACATTGCACAAAGGCTGTCGGTTTAGAGAGTGGTGTTTATAAAAATACGTTTAGAGGGAAAGGTGTTAAGGAAAGATGAGCCAAGTATTGTACAGATAACCCAGCGTGTGTCTCCTACCCTATGTTTTAATTTCCTCCTCGGGGCAGTTTTTTTCCTAATAAGCATTTAAAGTCTCCGAGTGCAGGGAAATGATGTTTGTGACGTCTTCGGTGCGATCCCAACCTGTGTAAATACGATAGCAAAGAGTATTGTGACCAGGTTGCTATTTCGAGAGTGGCTGGGGCCGCTGTTCTTGTCCCAAGCCAGAAGACGGCAGGGAGAAGATAAACTCCTCTTTGTTTTTTGGCACTTACATGTGTCAGAGCTTGAAGGTTGGGCCTCAAGTTCACGACTCATTGCTATTCTGCGCGCAGAGGCTGGAGGCACCAGGGGCTGGCACACGTCAGCATCTGCACTCGAGGCGTTGGTGCTGCAGTTCCCAACACCGTTTGCTGGCTCCAGAGACATAATGAAGGACGCCGTGATTTTGGGGGCCGGGTGAATGCTGCTCTGTGCTCTTCCCCTAGTCGTTAAACCAGGACGGGCTTTGGCAGGGGTCCACCGCAGGCAATTCTCAACGGCAACTCACAGGAGAGTCGTGGGCCAGATGGCTTTGGTCCTTAAGGTGGATGGAGGCCCAGGGAAAATGCAAAGGAGAGCAGCAGAATGGAGGATGCTGCTCAGAGCTTCAGATATTGCTTTTCCCCAATTTTCACTGTAACCTCCCCAATTTACTAGCACTTTCTGTCTCTTTAAAGACGCGTAATCTTGCTTTTCCATTGATAAAAACATCTCCACTGTTGCTGCTGGAGATTTAAAGCCCTTGTTCCCTTAAGTCGTACTCAGGAAAAAAGCATCCCCTGCGAAATGGAAGCAGCTACAACCATGGGAGGGAGGAAGTTTAGTCCCTCCACTGGAAAAGCAGGCTCCTGCCTTGGGTTGCCTAGTCCAAGGTATCTATCTCAGGCTCGAAACAGAAGCAAGGGCAAGTAACTCAAATGTTAACCTCAGTCTCAGGTTAGTGGTTGGTGTGGTAGCCTATAGGGAGGGCAAGGGGTTGAATTCAACCCACGAAAGTGAGTTAAAACTCAAATCCCCTTGCTTTCCTGCTGCGGAGCGAGATGCAGGTGGTTTGGGGTCTTCCTTGTGTTTCTCTTCTTTCAACATAGTCTGATGCACAGACCCACGTCCGGGTTTAATCCTGCCGTGTCGCTGACAGGCTACCCAGTAAATGGAAGGCTTGGAAGAATGTGGGTTGTATTGGAAATCCGACTAACGGTTTACTTCCATTGATAACAATTAGGGCACTTAGGAGGGTTGTTTAAGCAAAAAAACCCCAACAAACCCCTGTGCTGCAGTAAATATTTTCAATGCTGTTAAGAACTGCATCCAAATGCTTTAAGCAGCTTTGATCGTTTCGCCGTCTTCCTTTATAAAGTGCGTGTGTAGGGGGGAAGTTGCCCGGGAATATGTCAGCGTCCGAGACGCGAGGAGCTCGGAAGCAGTGGCACGCCGATCGCTGAAGGGCAGAGTCATATACAAATTGCTGGCAAGAAGCCCTTTCTTTTCTGAAGGTCAGCAGCGTACGTACACATTTCAGTGAGTTTTCTTTGTAAGTGGGTCAGCATTTACTCAGCAAATGATTAGAGCAGATGGTGTAATTTAGAGCCTACGACCAAACTTTAATACATCAGGGGGACAAGGATCTATGCACCGTTCCTGCGCTCTGCTTGCCTGCGGGCAGACATCTCGCCCGAGACTGGACTTTCCAGACTAAGTGTGCGCCTTGCACACGAGCAACTTGAACCACTTGTTTGAGCAACCCGTAAGACCGATGCCTGCGAGCTCAGATGCTCCCATCTTTTCTTTCTAATACCGTTAAAAAACAAAATCCACCAATGCAATGCTGGAGGCAGGAGGACACTTGCCAGGTGAACACGTTTCTTTCAAGCAGCGGTGCTTTTAAAGAAAATAAGCCACAGTTTGAGGAAAGTAACAAAGGCTGCATTTGTGTATTTTGCTCCGTGGAGCTGAAAATATCTAGTAAATTGATCCTGTGGGAGTAATAAATACACATTACTTTATCTTGTACTTCATGTCCTATACCCCTGAGCCTTGATAGAACAACACCACTTAATAGACTTAAAAAAAGAGTAATTACAGTCATTGGTTGTGTGATTTTTCAGCCCTTCCAGCCCTGCCTGACCTTCTAATTTAGCTCACCGTGTCTAACTAATGCATTTATATTCATCTTTTATGAAGCATGTGTAGTACAAAA